TATGAATATCTGCTAACTTCTGAAAATCAAAGCTAGATATAGCACAGTAGTGCTGCTCAGCGTATTGGCTTACGCCATATACTTCTGGTTCTTCGAGGATCGCAGAGACGATTGATTATGATCGTTGAGTGTCCTATGATGACTGATATTGTTCGGGTTTGCAAAGCTACCCTCATCATAATAGCAGTCTTATAAAGAGATAATTGATTTTAAACTACTATGAATATCTGCTAACTTCTGAAAATCAAAGCTAGATATAGCACAGTAGTGCTGCTCAGCGTATTGGCTTACGCCATATACTTCTGGTTCTTCGAGGATAGCAGAGACGATTGATTAGAATCGTTGTGTGTACTATGATTAGCGCACTTCATATCCCATTGTGCATCTTGGCGTCCTCCTTCCACGTAGGCTTTAGGTAACACAGGGAGCCGTATGTGTGAAGAGGAGCTTTAACTGTCAGTAGGCCTGATATGGAGACAATTGGTCCCACACCAACACTTTTTGTCACTGCTCTTGTCGCTGCTATCTTCAGCCTCTGTACGGCTGTGGCTCTAATAAAATCGTAATTTTTAGGCTCCTCGTTACATGTGCATATGACACTGAATCACGGTTTCCCACCACCTGAATCGACCGGTTCATCGGAAGAGAAGACAAGTGAATGTGAAGCGACTGCTGACGAAGGCTGCCTACGAACCGAATTACGAGCGATGCGAAGTCTCGTTTGTGATTTGAAAGCCCAGATCGCCGACATGCGTCAATCGCAATCAGCACCTCGAACTGAGCAGGTAACTATTATATGTTACTTCATGGACAGTCACCAATGCTGTGCATGAGCATAAGATCTACTGAGAAAAAATGAAGCGACAGCTGATCGAACAATGTGTCAGTAGTCATTAGTTTATGAAGCTCTTCGGCTTGACGAGCGCCATTATAAATCACAAGCTCTCGTCAGCACCAAAGACCATGGGAGAGCCGGAGAAACTCGAACTTCCCGTGAGCCGCTTGAAACAAGCGTGCAATCCGTGAAGTGCTTCGGTTTCTGCTCCTCATTGTATTTCTTGCGGATTTTCCTAAGCTACCTAGCTATCTTTCTCTTTTTGCTACTGGGCGTGTTCCTATACAGATTCTATCTGATGATACGAGATTAAAGTGATCTTTCAACTCTTTGTCCCCATGATCTCTCCATTTCATTCTGGTTACTCTATTTACTTTTTTTGCTTCTTGAACAGCAACGTCCGGTGAGGAAAGGTCATCGGTTCCCGACCCTCTCTTCCATGATTGGTGGTGTTGAAAGCGTTGTTGTGGTAGAGTTTATAGAATTGATGAAATGGCAAATTCACCTCAAAACTTTTTTTTCACAGCCTTCTATGAATAATTTTCAATTTTTTTTTTCAAATGAAATTTCTCTTCCACTATTTTCGAAAAAGTACGACCTCCAACCAGGGTCAACTCTACGTTGGGACAAGTCAACGGGGGGTAGTAGTTTGTTAAGATTTGTGGTGGGGGTCGTACCTGTTTCAGTAGGACGAAAGTACGTGTAATGAGGTGAGAGTGCGCGGGAGAAAATTTGCCGTTTCAGCTCCAATTTGCGGTTTTTTTTGGGAATGGCCTCCTGATTCTTTGATTTGACATTACTTTCGAATGACTGGAATTTATGGTAAATTTACCATCGTAGCTGAGTTGGGCTACAATGGTGCCCGTATGGTGTAACTGGTTAGCACGATTGCCCGACAAAGCAAGAGATCCGGGTACGAACCCCAGCTGGGGAGACGTTTTGCCCACAACTCAGCATTCTTGTGATAACTTTCGCAACGCGAACTGCGGCGTAAACACCAGCACTTGCTGCTATATTTTTCCTTTGACAGTCCTTACCCCTTGAATAATCTCACTGTAGGTAAGGAGCATGTTGTTTACCGTATCCACTAAGGTTTTAGGGTAGTTCTAAAACATGGGAAAATCCAGATAAATAAGGAAAACAAATCTCTTCCGTGCGAAAATGTGGCGCGTAACCGCGTCATGCTGTCGTCGGTGTGTTGGTTTGCTCTTCACGCATGTGAGTCTTGACTTTGCTCCATTAATCAACTTTTTGCTAGTATTACAAGTGATACGGCTGATGTTTAGTTTCTAGCGTTAACGTTGCGGAATTGATTTTCAAATTAAGTCCCTATGTAGTCGTAGAATTGTGTTCTCACGACTAGGTAACTAGTCTTTATTCTGTCCTCAAGGCGTCACATAGAGAAAATAAGGTGGAAAAATCCCTTCCAGTGATAAGGATTAGTTAGGAGAACCTTCGATTAGCTCTGCTGAAAACTTCGAGTAAGTCACTCAGTGGGATAGATTTATTTGAGGGCAGTGACTGGAGGGCGTTGCGGTTTTCGATGACGTCATTGGTGGAGGAGCGTTAAGGGCTGTTCCAACTCAGGGTCTGTCCTATCGTTGTTACTTTTCGAAAAAATTTTACGACCCCCCTCCCCCAACGTGGATTTGATACGACCCCTTTTCCATACCTCCACCATCTTCCATCTTCCGTCAAAACCCCGCCCACTTTTCTTCCTCCGTGCGCGAAAAATCCAAAAATTGCCCGGTCGCGGGCGGGCGGGGGTATACTCACTGTAAGAAAAAATCATGCAAAAATATCCCGAAAATTTCCCTCTATTATCCCCATCACTGTTTTTAAATGATTCCATTTCTACCTATCACTCCCACCACTCCTTTTCTGGGCGGAGTCTTACGCGGAGAGTGGCTGGTGCAGGTGAGCGGACGACTAAGAGTCGTATACGACCGCCCCCCTCCCCCTCGTCTACAAATCAACCACGTCGAACCCCCCCCCCACTCTCCGTTTTGTACTCCGTCAAAACGTCAGGTTGACCCCTGGTTCCCATTCCTTTTTGGTAAAAATGTTAATGTCACATCCATCACGTCAGTCCACCAGTGATATTCAATGACGCCTTCGGATAACCGCAGTCTGCGCTCAGAGCTCCATACTGATCTTGGTAACCTTTAAGTGGCATAAAATACTGTTTGCGTTCTTTTGGTTTCTTAACGCAACTTTCACATACCCTTTTCGACCGAATGACAGCGATGGGTGTCTTTGGCCCGACCAATTGAATGCCAATCCGTCCGAAAGGTGAAATGCGATCCTGGGAAATAAAATTGTCCCCTCGTCACAAAAGGAGACTTTTGAGTCGTAAGACCGACACCAGTTATGAAGGCTCGCTCGCAGAAAATAAATTCAAACGGAAGGGTTATTCGCAGGCTTGCTGATGCATGTGCAACTTTCATTGGCCTAACAGTTCTTCACTTTTTCGTGCAATTTCACTTTAGACTTCTATCTGTACATTTAATATTATATTATTTCTCCCAATTACTACTTATCAACGTGTTTTCCTTTCTCCTGTACTTTTCAACGATCTTCGTGAAAGAAAACGGGTGCTAAGTGGGTTTGGGGGGGGGACACGCGGCGGCGCGGCAGTCTGCTCACCTGGGCTCTCTCGAGCGAGACAGTGTAAACTCGAACATTCCAGCTTTTCACGCATGTCAAGTGACTGCCCCACCCCCACCCCCTAGACTGCCTACACTCCCCCTGGCCCACGGATTTCCGAACATGCCAGGCGAGCAGACTGCCGCGCCGCCGCGTGGCCCCCCCCCCAACTAAGTTAGCACCAGAAAATGATGAGCACTTTATTCGGCGCCACTATGTTTTCAGTGCCATGTTCTTGAAGAACTGTGGTGTATTTTTTTTTGAAATCAGTGACACATTTTTTTCCAAGTCAATTGCTCTGTTAGTGCCGTGCTTTATGGAGCGAAGTTTTGAATCTATTCATTAATTCTTCCACGTGATGGCTTCTCACTGACATATTCAACGTTGAGGAAGCAGCAGCCTTTCTTTTTATTGTACACCAAAGAACGTGCACAATCAGTGCTGGTTAGAGTCATTTGTGCGTTGTGTACGTTCTTTGAAAACTTTCCATGTAGTTTTGTTTTAACAAACAAAAACAAGTCAAAATTTCCCTATAGTTTGTCTTTTTTTCTTCTACTGTTCGAAGGGTTCATTTTTACAAATATGCTCCATTTGTTTGTTTCCTTCTTATCACCACGACAATTTCCTTCGTCCTGTATATGTTTTTAACAAATCTTCACGGTCACGTGCTGAGTGAGATTTTCGAGCTCAGCTTTTGAAACTTTGATCTGTCAAGGGGTTAAAGGCAGTGATCGCGGTGGCTAGAGGGCGGTGCGTTTTGATGACGTTCTTGAATGTCATTGGTGGACTTGACCACTCAGAGCGCTGAGCCAGTTGTTTGGGTTCGCCTCTCTACGCTCTCTCACCAATGATGTTCAACGAGTTAAACAAAATCACCATCTTCCAGCTATCATAACCGCTGTCTTCAGGTGCAAAAGGAATGGTACACGGAAACATGCCGATCGGGAGCAGAAGCTTTGTTCTGGTAACCCTTCAAACCGGGAAAGCTTTCCCTCTCCTTTCACCATTAGTCCATGTTCCCTCCCAGCTCAAAATTCCGACTTCCGATATCGTTTTCACTCCGGATCGTGAGCATTTTCATACCCAATTATCCTCCTCTTCGGGTTGTTGAGTCATTCACTTTATTGCAGTGGATTTACTAGCTCTCTGCTGTTGCCAAGAAACGAGGAACAGGAAAGGTAGCATATGTTTATCACATGCTTTCTTTATATTGCTGTTTGATCGCTTAGGTCGAAATCGCTAATCCCCAAGTTTATGATTGTTGTCGAAAACAAAATCGATGCCTATTGAATCTCAAACAGAGTCTTTTCAGTTCTACATTTTGTTGTTCTAGAGCTTTCCAAAGACCATTTTTCATGTGATCACACTTAAAAGCATTGCGGATAACGTGCGTACTTGCATACATTATACGAGAAACGACTTGGAATGGAAATTATATTAAGACGAAATCTCGGTTAAGGATCGGTGCAATCTTGTTCTTCCAACGACAACCACTTTTGCGCACCAGTAGATAGCCTTCGTAAGCACCCCTGAGCCAGCTCCTGGGGTTCGTATTTAGATCAAAGAGGTGCACTTGGCGCCCGCCCCTGTTGTGCTGCGGCCTCAGTAGTCGGTTATTTTCAGGGCTCGGTGGCCAGTGGTTCTCTAAAAGTAATTCCATCCGGTCTATATGAATCTATCGGTGCATAACGGATTGCTCCCTCAAAACTAATGGCACTAACTAATGGAGCCGTATGGAGTTCCTACCACAAACGTTTTTCTCTATTAGATAATCAATAAGTCAATCGGCTGAATCAACTACGATAACTACTTTGTATTATTTCTGTGATTGGCCAATGAATAAATAAATAAATAAGATGCGTATTAAGTAAAGGTCGTGCTACTCAAAATGATTAGAAGCTCGTTGTGGTGTTATAAGTACAAGCAGGGATAATCCTACACTACGGGGATCAAGATCTGATGTGTCGCAATGTTTGCCCTTATTGCCTCAGTATTTTGAAGAGCTGCCTTCCCTTACTAGGTGAACAATTCGAATTATTAAAAGAAAAATCAATTAAGGGAACTAATATGTACATCAATAAATCCCCTTGGTGTTAGCTACGATTTCTACTCCATGCAGAATGTGAAGTTTCACATGAACATTTGACCGAGACAACGATTTGGGTGGGTTATTTGATGTACTATTGAATGGTGTATTCATCCTGCCAGACACGTCAGGTATTAAATGGCCGGGTCTGGCGAGTGATAGATTTGGTTGGCTGGAGGGAGATTCGATCCAGGCTTTGGTTTTCATGGCAATCTTACGGATGGCGTTAATTGCCATCACTACGTCGCAATCTTAAAAATTCTGGA